GGGTTGCGCTGAGGTGGACGCGTTCGACGCGTCTCTTCGGAGTCTCTCAAGCTTTTCGCCGGTCATGTGATGTTGATCCTTTTTGGGATTAAGGTTTTCGGCGGAATCTCAAAAGTGATGCAAACGTGAGTAAAACGACGTTTATTTTTAACTTCTAAAAGTGGCGGTCAGATATACCCGTGCCGACACCTCTTACGGCTGTGCCCCTGGTTTAAATCAAACATCTCTGCCAAGCCTTTCGCAAAGGGCCCGTTATGTGGTGATCTGCCTGTTGTATCCGCGCTCGGCGGATACACCGATATCCTATAAAATGCAGGTTGAGCTCACCTGTAATTCCCCACCAGCTGAGCAGGTCCAGGTCTACGCGCTAATTCGTCTGTGACGATTCGCTTTCTTCTCCACCCACACGTCAATCTATCCTCACCATGAAATTCTCCCTCATATTTCTTGGCCTTTTCGCCGTCGCCACCGCTGCCCCGCTGGCGATAAGGCGTGCTGAGCACGCTCCTGCTGGCGTGGTTAGTGGACGTGATATTCAAACCGGCGATATGTTACGGCGAAGCGACAACTCCCCCATTCAAGTTGTCCGCGCCAACGACGATAGCATAAAACGGAACCTCGGAGAAAATTTGGAAACACGGCAAGTTGAAGAAGCGATTGAGATCGTCGAAGCTGTTGTTGAGCTTGTCACGGGTTTAATTGACGCGATAAACGAGGATAACACGGTACGAGATTGAGCAATTTTTTACAAGTCAGGTTTAACTCAATGCGCACCACCTTAGAAACGTGGTCAATTTACCATCGACACGGTTACCCAGTCGGGAGAGCAATGGCCAGGCTTCAATTGGGTCATCTGCCACACTGATCACACAACGGCTTTCGATGGTACCCAGGGCACTGACTGGGGCCACACTCATCATGAACTCGACGTCACCTTCGGAACAATTGGGTCAGTCCTTTTTATGAATAAATCGAGGCTTTTGCTTTTTTAACATTTCTGGATACTAGGTTTGAGCTTTATTGGTTCAGGTCAGGTACATTCACCCGGAACGGAGACGGTGGATACTTGAACGTGCGTATCCTCGTTATTGCGATTGATAATGGTCTTAATCATGTGTCTTGAACAGTGGGCCTATGAAGACTGGTGGCTACCACTTTTATCTATAACCTAGACTTAAGCCTAGAGAGTCATTTCTATAACTTAGACTTAAGCCTAGAGGCTATATCTATAATGCTTAGGATTTTTTGAAAGGCATTTCAAATGTAGGCCTGGGTATTTCATAGTGAATTTTCCATAGATACCCAGCGCATTTTCTGCGAAATTTCAAATGCAGCCCTGGATATTTCATTGTGATTTTTCAAATGTATCCCTGGATATTTCATTGCGATTTTTCAATAGATACCCTGGGTATTTCATTGCGATTTTTCAAATGTATCCCTGGGTATTTCATTGCGATTTTTCAATAGATACCCTGGGCATTTCATTGCGATTTTTCAATGGATACCTGGCACATTTCATTGCGATTTTTCAAATGTATACCCTGGGTATTTCATTGCGATTTTTCAAATATAGCCCTGGGCATTTCATTGCGATTTTTCAATAGATACCCTGGGCATTTCATTGCGATTTTTCAAATGTATCCCTGGGTATTTCATTGCGATTTTTCAAATATAGCCCTGGGCATTTCATTGCGATTTTTCAATAGATACCCTGGGCATTTCATTGCGATTTTTCAAATGTATTCCTGGGTATTTCATTGCGATTTTTCAAATATAGCCCTGGGCATTTCATTGCGATTTTTCAAATGTATCCCTGGGCATTTCATTGCGATTTTTCAAATGTATTCCTGGGCATTTCATTGCGATTTTTCAATAGATACCCTGGGCATTTCATTGCGATTTTTCAAATGTATTCCTGGGTATTTCATTGCAATTTTTCAAATGTATTCCTTGGTATTTCATTGCAATTTTTCAAATGTATTCCTGGGCATTTCATTGTGATTTTTCAATAGATACCCTGGGCATTTCATTGCGATATTTCAAATGTATTCCTGGGCATTTCATTGCGATTTTTCAAATGTATTCCTGGGTATTTCATTGCAATTTTTCAAATATATTCCTGGGTATTTCATTGTGATTTTTCAAATGTATCCCTGGATATTTCATTGCAATTTTTCAAATGTATCCCACATGTCAGGGTCCATGCAATGGGCTTCCCTGGAGGGTGGTCACATGGCCAATTACGAAAAATGGTCAAAAAACGAAAGTTGTAGCCCTGCACTGTAGCTTCCCGAATCTGTTTGAATTATGTTCTGAAGTGCTCCCGTTGTGGAGAT